GATCGAAACTATATAAAATGTCATTAAACAGTCTTAAACAGTCCTAAAGATCGAAACTATATAAAATGTCATTAAACAGTCTTAAACAGTCTTAAACAGTTGTAAATGTGAACCCTTTACAAAAAAAGCAACCTATTTGGAAATACCTAACGCAAGAATAAAATCCAAAGTAACCAATAGAAGCAAATTTTTAAACTGAACCTTTAGGGTCGAGATTTTGTTTCGATAATGATTGATGCTTTAGCTATGCTGTCTTGATTGGAAAAAGCAGGTACAACCAATTAAAAAACTCTAAGCACATTAGGCGACAACTGGAGAGAGAGAGAGAGAGAGACGAGCAATATAATGTTCTTGTAATTAACCTATTTTAGGATCGCCAATCAGTGAAAATGGATTATAATATTTTGCTCTAAGTTATTATCACCAAATTATTATTAAATTAACATATCTTATCTTTAACTTCGACTTGCAGCACGATATGGACAACGAAAATGCAAACAGAATAGAACATATTGCTGAGGAGAATTTTGAGAATTCGGATTATTTTAACTCTTTCTTCGATACTTGAAGTAAATTGCGTCAGAATAAAAAGGGAAGCGTGATATTATATAACCTGTGCTGATAGAATCTAATAAGCAACAATTGAATTTCAAAGTACTGCGATTTCTCGTTGGAAGTAGGAGACGAAATTATCTATGTCCATAGGGTGGTCTAGCAGCTACCACTTGGTTGTGTCTAAAGTCACCATTGTTGAGGCTCAAAGTTGAGTATTTGTCGACCCAAAAATCAGCTGCGAATTTGAGAGAGCGAGTTTCATTAAGTTGCGTCAGTCAAAGCTGAATAATATTTTATGCTACTTGTAACGGCAATAACCAAGGCTGCACAATGTGCAAAGCAAAGAAGAAATATCTCCTTCTTTTTAGTTAATTTATGTGATATAAGAAACTCAAATCAATAATGATGGACAGAATTGCTTTATGTTTATTTGGACTGCATACTGCAAACAATAATCGTTCGAAAACAATCTTTATTATTATTATTATTATTATTAATTTCGCCAGAGAAATAAATTCTAAGACTAAAACTCTTAAAAGCACTAGCATCTAAGACTATCGGCTTTTTATTAAAAACTCTACCGAACTTGAGATTCGAACCCACGACCATTGACTTGCTAGTCGAGATTCCTCCCCTTCGGCTACTCAGGCGGATAACAATCTTTATCTTCTAAAGATAAACTAAATTTATGTAGATATTGTGAAACACAGACTCCACAAAATCCATTTCGATTACTAAAAGGGAATATGACGCGACACATTTACACTATCTTGCAGAAATGCTTAATGCGTTGTACGCTAGTAGGAGTCTGGGAAAGAAAAAACAAATTGCTTGTGGCTTTTTGGACAATTCATAATAACTATCGTTGCTAGTTTAGCAACTGTATTATAAACTTTATCTGTAATCTTATTGTAATGAATACTCAGCTTATGCGAAAACTTTCAACTTTTTATGCACTGTTTGTTTCACTCGAGAAAGTCATTTCAAAGATGCTTTCAAAAATTGGAATAAAAAAATTTAATTTAATGGACACATGTTGTTTGTCGTTTGTTTTTAAAAATAGTATTTCGAGAAATGGCATTTAACATTAAAACATTTACTATAGATATGTTCACATGACAAACTTTTTTATTTTTTTGCCATAAAAACGCCTTCTCAGGTTCAGAGAATGTTAAAATTTGTTGAATATATTTTGTTCATTTTGCTTACAAAACTGACTTCCCAAAGCCGTTTAACAGTCGATCTACAAAAGGAAAATCCATTGAAACGGCTAGAGCATATAACACAGCTAGCTAGCGCAGCACACTCCAACCCGTTGCTATTAACGTTTCGTGGCATTCACATTTCATTCACACTTGATACAACACATCATCTCCGCAAACGGCAGCTGGATAATTTTTGTGTTTAACGGTGTTAGTGGGAAAAAAAAAAAAAAAAAAAAAAAAAAGATTTTAAATATTTGAAAAAAGGAAAAGAGGTGTAATAAAGTAATAAAATAACCAAAGAAAACAATTTTAAGAAGGAAAAGGAGGGAAGGAGGAGGAATCTCTCGTGAGAGAAAAATTAAGAAGCAATACACATATTCAATTATTATTTTTTGTTTTTTCTTTGTGATTTTTTCTTTTTGTGTTTCCTGTGACAACAACCAAAACAACATCAGCTCGTCTCCCTATGGAGACTGGGTCTGATCTTATAACTACTAATAGAGACTGTTTTGAAAATTTCTGCACTCATGAGTGGTCACACTTATGACAAAGTTTATTTAAAAATGATTCGCGCTATACCATGCGATGTTTGTGAAGTTTACAATGTTGTTGAGTCTGCTGAGCATCTAATCTTCAGATGTCACAGGCTTGATGGCATTAGAGATTCCTTTAGCTTCTCCAAGTTATATGGCTGTCTCCTCGATCTCTTTGCAGCAAAACATGTACGTCATCTCGGGGAACTAACTTGCTTTATTAGAAAAGCTAATTTATCCTTTTAGAATTTTTTTTTTTTCCTCTTCTTTCTTTTTTTTCTTTCGTTTTTGCGTTTAATAATCTCCTATTACCATAGCATTGCTTTTCGTTTTCAGCCAAAGTTTGCAACACTGTTTAACTTTCAAGCACTCAACAAGCACAATTACACACACACACACACACACACACAATTACATTTAACACGCTCACTCCGCGCTATTACGGCCGCTTTTATTTTTTTGTTACGTTTTATACATAATCGTGACTAAAAATTACAACAGTTTATTATTTGGACATATAAGCCACAAATCTATTGGCTTAGTCCATCTCTGTTCAACATACCAAAAAAAAAAAGACAAACTTTTTTTATTTTTTTGCCATAAAAACGCCTTCTCAGGTTCAAGAAAGTTTGTCTAGTGTGCTTTCCCCGACGATCAATAGCAAAATCAATACCAAAAACTACACACGGAGCCTTTTATTGCAGAACCGTTCTCAGCCTCTTATGTATTAGCGTTCGGAAGCCACACTAATAACACTAATAAAATGAAAAGTCTATGAGAAAGCAATGGCTCACTTGACATAGGACATATTCATGAAAGAAATTTCTTTAAAGTGTTGAATTTTTCGGCATGCTCTATTAACCCATAACAACTGAGGCATGTTTGCAATCTTCCACCCGTAGCATATGTAATAAACGCCTATTTGGAGATCTCTGTAACTTAGAGAATACATGTTAAAATATTTCTATATTTTACCTCTGGCAACATTACTAATATGGAAAGCATGCAAAATTAGTTTTGTTATTTATATTACAAAAATTCAAAATTAAATAATGGATCCGAATTTAAGAAATGTGGGTTGACTCTTTACTGTTATAATTGAAGCCTAAATACTAAATTTATTTTTTGCCCTTAAAATCAAAGTTGAAAGATTTCTTGACATTATACAATAGAATCACAGAGCTCTGTTTTGATCGATGCGTGGACAATTTCAATGGTCGTGTGTTAAGTAATACAGAGGTATTTTGTACACTAAACCATTCAGGGGTTTGTGAATAATAATATATAAAATAATGTTGTCATTTATTATAGAACATTTGCGTCAATCATTGCGTCAATAAATTTGCACGCTTCAATCAAGCAATGATGAAGGTTTATGTGGAAGTGCAAACACAATTAAATCAAAAACGTCTAAAGGAACTGGAAGAGCAACAAAAGTTACTAGATCAGCAATCGCTACAATTACCTATTAGCACAACTCAAATCTCAGCACCTTTAAGCACGGATCAAAAGATAACAGAAAATTTGCAAGCATAGAAATATACATTTTTTAGTTCAAATATATATATATATATATATATATATACACGTATATAATTAAACTGTTCAGCTAGTTCTGTAAGATCCAGATAATAACATGCGGCGTATTTGCTTAACTGTGTTGATAGGTTTGCCAGGTACCTGTAAAACCACTTTCAGTGAACATTTGATTGCGGCAAAATTTAATGGGTTTAATACCTTGCACTTTTGTTACGATGATTTCTTTGCTTTTAATACGGAAACAGTACATACGCAAACTTATTATAAACTGCAACGAAACAATATTCTTCAAACATTACAGTCGGTAATTCAAATTTTAAAATTTGAAGAAGACGCTGGAAAAACGTTAAAGGGATTTTCGAAACTATCTTTAAGCTTAACTGATAACAATGAGAATTATGTAATTATTTGCGATGATAATCATTTTTTTCGAAGTATGCGTTATAAACTTTACCAACTGGCACGACGTTACAGCTTATCTTATGTGCAAATATACTTTGAATGCGACCTTTCCAAGGCCTTGGACAGAAATAGGAGTAGACCAGCGAATAGCAGAGTACCACCAGAAATTATACACGGAATGCATAAGAAATTAGAATGTCCCAAGCCAAATAGCCACACATTTGAACGCAACACTTTGATATTGGAAGATTATCGAGTGAAGGCAATCGACTGCTTGGTTTTGCCGTTTTTAATAAATTCTTTTGCCAAGCCCTTAAAGCCTTTGGAAGGAATGGCTGTAAACAGCCCCAGCGATCAATCAGTAGTTCACCATTTAGACATATTAATAAGAAAACGAATAAATCAGCTAATAACGGATATTAGTGATAGGGATAAACGACGAGATCGTGCAGAATTTTTAAATAACCGTCGCAAAAATTTATTAAATGAGTTCACGCAAGAACTGAATCAACCATCGCAGATTTCTAGCGATCCCAAAAATTTACTAACAAAGTATATTAATAAGTTGTAATAAGAAGCTGAAAAATTAAATATAGATTAAATAGCAATTATTAAATGGAAAAGGTTTATTTGAAGATATATTTTATTGAAATACATTTAATTATAACTGGCTGCGTATGCTGTTCGTACATACTGTATAATTAATTGTTAAATGCATGAAAAATAAATGTTTACATCATTTTCGATTGTTATTTTCTAAGAGTATCCTAAACTTTCTATTCGTAAGACTAAAAAATCTCTCTTGAAAAACCATATTTAAAATATAATTTGTGCAACAAAACAAAAAATGCTCAAATTCTTTGGCAATTTTGTACGGTTTAATGTACGAGGGTTAATGCCAATCATTGCTTACTTAACGATTTAAATACCCATATCAAAAATACCAATAGATTGGTGAAAACCTAACCACTAAAACACATTTCACATTGACGAGATTCTAAGTTAAGGAGATTTAAGATTTAATGCTTTCATCCCCTTCACGCTGACCAGCGGGATTTTTGCAGCTCTATCTGGCCTTCGAGTGTTTTGGCCAAATAAATGACGAACAACTGGATGAGAGCAATACCTAACGCTATACCTGCTATGGCATATAAATTACGTTCAGCCCAAACGCGCACAATTTCAATGCAACCGCTTGTCCATATTCGCTTGCTAGCGGCAGCGACTGAATGCTCTTGCACGCCATATCCGCACATAATGTTTACTAAGCCGGAGCTAATGTCAGTAGCATTTATGCAGCAGCTATAAGGCACACCACATTTTTCCACAGACGGTGAGGAGCAATTAAAGTATTCGTTTTTACCTATATTTAATGAAATATTTCCAAATATTTTAACTAATTTTAGTTTTACTTTTCAATACATACTCCAATCCTGATAGCCCACATTACTTAGGCCGCAGCATTTAAATTCTTTTTGGGCGAAATCAATGAAATTCTGCAAGTCGGGATCATCGCGATACGAATGTATGATCTTGTCGGTGAATTTGTCTTCCAAGAATGAATTCATATTTTGGGGAAATACAAAGCCCATTATGGCAATAGCCATTTCCAATAAAAAAAACAGCAGTAAGCACATCGAATAAAACTTTAAGAGGCAAGTATTCTCGCGCAACGCACCTAAACAGCCAGCAAAACTGACCACAAATATGACAATGCCCGCAATCATCATGACTAGAGATATATTCAAGATTACATCGTACACGGTCTCTAAACGTACCCAACCAGTGGATTCCCATTTGTCCATGAAAGCATAAAGGCCGATACCCAACAGTAGGCCACCGAACAGCCAGAAAATGAAATTCAACATGAATATCATATATTTAACACATGAACTAACGTATGTGAAATTCTGAGATATTCTAGGATGCATGTCGCGTATTTCTATGCCGCAATATCCACCACCGCTGTGATGACGATAATTGCTCATTGGTAATATATATTGAAGTAGGAAATCCAAAATTTATTTGACGCTCCTAGAGCCTATATCGTTTTAAAATTGCAAATCAAACGAAAATGGCAAATCTTTCCAATCTTTGCTTCTCTTGCCACCACCGTCTTCTCGATGTCTAATTCACTTGCAGCTTGGTGTATTCTCAGTTAGCAGATATATTTGCACAAAATAATTTTCATTTATAGCAAACCCAATACTTTTCAAATGCTTCCTATTGCCCTTTAGAGAAAAATTTATTTCTCTTTCTACAATCCAGTAATTTTCAATTATCTCTTTCCCATTTCGATGCATAGACCAGAGTGGCCGAAATTCATAACAAAAACCAAGAAAATATGAAAAGTACGGCAACGACCACCTACCTTCTTTGGGGGAAAACACAATGAGGCGTTATTCCTATTTCATGGAACTCCAACTTTGCTAACTTTTTACAAACTTTATGGCGTTTGACAAATCATGTGTTTTTGCACGCGGACAAACAAATAAAATAGAAGGAACGAACAAATGATGATCGCTTCTTTAAAATTTTAAAGTTATTCATGCAATTTACGTTTATCTTACATTAATCTACGTCATCCCTATATATTACGTGATTTGCAATTTCGGTTTTGCCATCCATTATTTTGTAAGAAATGAGAAACAAGCAATAAAAACCGTTTAATTTAAAGTTGAAATGTATTTATTAAATCAGCTTATTAAAAAGTGATATTTATTTATTTCTTTATTTATTTTTATTTGTTTAGTGTAGTTACTTAAACATGAACTCAACTGAAATAAATTGACAGTCCAGTAATAGACATCGTTTAGGTTTTTGCGAACAACTCTGAACGGATTAAACAGCTCATAATTATATTTATATTGATTGAGGTTAATGAGCATAAAGTGCCTAGAGAAGCGGTTAGGGACATTAAAGCTTAACTCACCGTGCAATGTGGATGAATCTTAATTAACTTAATTAAGAAGGAAACACCAAGAATCAACGCATTTTCACAAGCAGGAAGAGAGATCAGCGGGTCTCAACTCGAATTCCTAAGGGCAAACAGCCCTTGCTTTTACACGGATACAAATGAATCTACATAACACCTACAGAAAGGAGACCACGCAACCGAGACAAACTGCAGTATTGGTCTAACTAAGCGCATGTGTAGCTTTCTTATAATATAGGGATCCTCCAGGTCTTTGGACTATCTGTTGGTGAAACCCAGCGCTTCACTTAAAGAGAGCTCAAATTGCAAATTAAAACGTAATTTTTGGTCAAATGTAACTCCCAAGTCGATGAACGAATCAACGTTTTCTTTTCAACGAATTCTTATGTGGCCGCCTTGAGGGATACCAGACTCCACGGGAACTTCATCCTAGGCGAAGAAGTAAAACAGAATCCTGCCTGAAAATCTGTATGTTACGGACGCTTTACTAAAATAAGTATATACGACATCCGTGTGAGAGTCACTGCCAAGAGCCTTGAAAAAGTAGCATGTAAACTGTAAGAGATTCGCGACACTAGACCTTCCTTTCCGAACACAATGCTGGTACGGAGAAATACAAGATACGATGGCAAAAGCTAAATGCTGAGTAACTATTCGCTAAAACATTTTAGATAAAACACTCAATTTGTGAAATGGAATAAAGAAACTACTCTTCTAACACAAACGGAAAGCACCTGATTTTAAAGACAGATTAAAAATCATTGAAATAACATCACATAGTTCAACAGAACTTTTTGAAATGACCAAGTTAGGAATCAAAACCGGATTAATTATCAGATACGGATAGTTAACAATTAAATCGGAATTAACAGTTGAAAAATTTCGGCGGCAGTATTCAGCAAAAAGATATTAGGTTCCAATATCATCAGAAGACTCTGAGCCATTGGAAGAAACAAACGGGGGATATATAGAGACTTTTTTATTTAGAGTTGGCAAACCTAAAAAAATATTTAGGATTAACAAACAGCGAGGATTTTATCAACTGAAGGCATCTGCAATAATATTTATCGTTGAGGTAATTAAATCTATGCCTTGCAGCAAAGTAGGCGAAATAGTCGTAAGCAGAACCACATTTCATAAATTTTTTGAAAAGTTTGTTTTTCCTAATTTTGAAATATTTTATTCTCCTGTTAAATAGTGGTGAAGAAGGAAGAGACCATAACATGACCGTGAAGTCGTAGGTATGATAGATAAAAGGGAATAAGAAGGCAGGTGATCAATCGTATGACAAGCAATTTTTAGAACTTGTACGATCAATAACAAAAAATTTTTGCGCCCAAATAACAAATTATATGAATTTTTCTGTTTATAATCGCTTTATCAAACCAATCAACAAGTTAGCATTTGACATACAAAATAATTTATTAGAAATAAGCAGTGGTTGACTGATGCCCTTGTGCAATTAGATTATAATCTTTATAAATCATTAGATTTAAAATTTCACCACACTTCGTATACTTTTACCCTCATGCATCAATTCGAAAGCATCATTAATTTTTTCAACTTCCATAGTGTGTGTAACAAATTCATCAACAAGCAATTCCTGACGCATGTATTCCTCTACTAATTTAGGGACATCTGATCCGCTTTTCCATCCACCGAAAGCTGTGCCTTTCCAAGTGCGTCCAACCACTAATTGGAAGGGTCTAGTGCTAATCTCTTGACCGGCGGCAGCAACGCCTATGATAACCGAAGTACCCCAACCCTTGTGGGAAGCTTCTAATGCAGCTCGCATCGTATCGACGTTACCAATACATTCAAAGGTATAGTCGAAACCACCATCGTATTTCTCAAGAAGGTAACTTTGAATGGATTCTTTATCCTCTATATCATTAGGATTTATAAATTCGGTAAAGCCGAATTTCTTAGCTAATTCAAATTTGGTCGAATTTATATCAATGCCTACGATTTTTGATGCTCCGGCTTTTTTACAACCTAACGCAGTGGCCAACCCAACGGCGCCCAAACCCCAAATAGCACAAGACGTGCCAGCTTCAACCTTAAATTGAAAATTATTAATTAGAAAGAAGAGTATCACAAGCTTACGCTTACTTTCGCAGTATTCAATGCGGCCCCATAACCAGTAGGAATACCACATCCCAATAAACAGACTTTATCCATCGGAGCTTTTTCATTAACCTAAAATAGTTCAAATTTTTGGTTAACATTCTTTTAGGGCATGTTCCAAACTAACTTTACACAAGGATATATCCGCTACCACGGTGTATTCGGAAAACGTCGAAGTACCCATAAAATGGAATATCTTTTGTCCATTGCAAGAAAATCTTGTTGTACCATCCGGCATTACTCCTTGACCTTGAGTAACTCGAATTTTTTGACATAAATTAGTCTTCTTACTATTGCAAAATTTGCATTCGTTACATTGTGGTATGTAAGTGGGTATTACATGATCACCAGCTTTAAATTTAGTAACATCTTGACCTACGCTCTCTACGACACCAGCGCCTTCATGTCCCAAAATGACAGGGAATTTGCCTTCAGGATCAAATCCATTCAAAGTGTACGCATCCGTATGGCAAACGCCAGTTGCAAAAATTTTAATGCGAACTTCATGTGAATTAGGCGGTTCTACTTCAATCTCTTCGATTACAAGGGGCTTCTTTGCCTCCCAAGCTACGGCAGCCTTACAAATGATAACCTTAGATATGTCATAATTAGATTTTAAAACAAATTAATTAAAATATAGTTTAAATGCACACTTACTTTCCCCTCCGTAAGCGAAGACATTTCTAAAGCAAACTAACTAATTTTATGATCTTTACTTCTTGCAATTGAAAGAAGGAATGACTAATTATAACAATCTACAAAAAAAGTAGCGTTAAGAATTTACAAGTACGTAACGTAATTCGCCAAACAATCCAAAATATCGAAATTGTGAAACCGTGAAAAGTATTAAAAGATTATTTTCTTAAAACCGACACAATTACTGTAAAGTGTCTTTTGATGCAATTTTTGCTTTATCACAAAACCTTAACAATACTTGCGATTTTGTCGCGTTCTGTTTAGAATTCACAGCCGAATTCAACTCTACAGAATTCAGTCTTTTCTATGTGCAATTATTGCGTATACGATTATGAAAATGAAGCGGTTTACGAATAAATAATGAATGCATCTTTTACGTACCTTTCGTCTTGGACGAAAACGAAATTTGACATTCTTTTTTATTTGCTTATGTATGACTTTTGTAACCACTTCTACTCCTCTTCTAAAACGTTTCCAATTGCCACAAAGAAAGTTTGATAATATGAACCAATCGTATTGTAAACAAAGTGTTTTTTTTATGACATATCTCAATACGTTTCAATTCCAGAATCACAGATACATACATTGCACTGATTTTATATGACGGTAGCTAGGTTTCCTTTTTGAGCTTCTAGTTTGTTTGTTATAAATATCACCAAAGGTGACAGATATGAACCGATTTTCACATCTATCAAAGCAGGCGGGTAAACAGATAATTGAAAGTAAACTTATGTGTTGTTTTCCTGCTGATTTCACACCGCGTATGATTCAGCAAGCATTCATAGCTTTTTTAGAAACGTGTCGATAGCATTGGGATTGGTTACTATAGGTTAACATTGATTGTTTGACTAGCTTGTTTACTTGCAAACAGCTGAGCCAAAACAAAAAATTAATAAATAAAAATTAATAAATAATATATATTTAAAATAAATTAATTACCAAGCAAAAACGATGAGAACGACAACCCTGTTCGAAATATGACACGTTTTTTTCGACGCAAGAAATTTGTTAAAAATCCTTTAAAACAACAAGTTTCACAAACAATCTGTCGTGAAATGCTTAATCCTAATAAATAAAATCCTTTTGGGATTCTATGACGGGTCACACAACAAAAAGTTATCCAAAATAGAAAATTCTTCCAAAATATACATTACGAAAAATAATGCCTATATTTTGTCAAAACTAACCAAAAACACCAATAATCTGTACGTAAATGCTCTTTCTTGTATTCTATTTAAACGGAAATTGCTTTTCGATAATCATTACTTTATTCCCTGTATTTTGCATTTGCCTATTTTGAAGACCGGAAAATTTACAAATTTTTTCTGTGATTCGAAATGCGTACAAATTTTTATACAAACCTTTTTGAACGAACGAAGTCTATTTTATTTATGTGTGAGTGATATCAGAAAATTTAATTTTTTATAGCAAATGCAAGCTGTGTTTGTAAATAAAAAAAATCAAAACGAAATCCTAAGTTCCAATTATCGTGACTAAATACTCTGTTTGCATAAATTCTAAAGAATTACAGGTTCTAGTAGTGGGGTATCAAACAATAACAGTCGCAGTACATCAATCATTTTCATCGTGTTGTCCTTGGCAGATGTAATTTATTTATTTATTTATTTATTTTAATTCTACATATACTAGAAACTCAACTAAACAAATAACAGTCGAGTTCAATTGGCTCATAATGCAAAACTTATATTAATTTATAATAAAATTTAGTATAAGTAAGAAAACAAATAAGAAGAAAAAAAAAAGAAAAAAAAGCATGTACACTATCAGCATAGAGCCACACTTACAACCGGTACAGGACCAAATTGCAAATGAACGCCTAAGCCATCGCAAACATGCGTAAGCCTGGCAATAATAATTAACAATAATTCATTTTCGCATCGTAACGAGTTTTTAAGGGTAAAAGATAGTTTAAGTACGACATAGGTAAATCGCGCGTATTAAGCAATGTTGCTTTAATGGAATTTAAAGAGTCCGATAACGACAATAAGTGGTAGGCGTCGTTTAGGTTCTTGCAAACGACTCTGAGCGAATTAAATAAATAATCTAAAAAAGCAAAGTATTTGCTTCTCTTGAAAAATTTGATATTGTTCGACAGAGACTGAGATTCAACTCACTTGTTTCGTACAAATCGGTAAGATTTTTTCACACACTTTTTGATTTAAAGAAATTTCTTCTTCTTCTGCTAGCAGTTATTTTTTTCAGGCATGAATTTTTAAGTGCTTTAAAATGCTTACGCCAAAATTGAGGCTGAAAGACAATAGATAATAAACAATATTTCGATCTCCAAACCTTGTTTTATAATTCTTTTTGAAAAATTTTGTCATTCCTTTCCATACAACAATATATTGTTTGTATAACATTTTCTTTTTTTCACGATGTGACAATAATCTTTCTAATAATTACTACATTAGTAGGGTATATATATTGTAACGAGTCTTCTTTCCATGGTATACTCAGGGTTACCCAGGAAGCCCCTTTCCAAGAAAATTTATATAAAAAATTCTTGGATCTTCAAATTTTCAATCTTATATATTTATTATTTACGAGGAATTTACAGTTAGATTAGCGATTTTTAATAGGAGGAGGGGAAACCAGCGTGGTGATTCGCCATCCGACCTTTTTTTTGAACTTTCCACGTTTTTGTCCGTCCCGAGAGGTTATTTTCCACGTTTTATCTGTACCACGAGATTCTCTGGCTGCTGTAACACGACTGAAAGAATGAAAGTATTGCGACACGGTCTTTTAAAGTCTTTTATAGTCGTGATCGCCATCGCTGTCCCGTTGCATAGATGTTTTGACTATACGTGTGTTACAATCTCAACACTCACTCGTATGTGTGTTACAATGATATTCTTACGTATATCTTATTGTTAATGCTAGCTTAAGTACCAAATCGTATGATCGAACATGTATAAAAGTCGTTAACGATTCAATGTGCTAGCAAGATCGTTATTAAACACGTTATTGTTCACGTATCTAAAGATGTGGGGCAATTGCAGGATATTATAATGGTCCTCTTTCAGGTTATTGCAACGATTTTCCTTAAAAACCTTTTGTATAATAAAATTTTTCTTTTTCATAAATCAAGGCCCGTTATCATCCCTTGAAAATATGCGATTTTCTTTTCCTTATGCCAATGGTAGTGAAATCAGTTTCAGTTGAATTATTGAATGATAATGAAGAATATTCACATCTTAATATTTCATATTCTCTTAAAGAGTTAATGAAAAGTTTAAGTCTTATAAGGAATGTTGATGAATTTTTTTATATACACATAAATAGTTTTGCATTAACAATTTTAATTTAAAATTTAGCATTTGTCTGGATTTTGAACGAATCCTTTTATACCTCGCGAAAATATGATTTGACATATGTACGATGTATGGCGTAGTATCTATACTTTCGATCCAATGTTCAATGAGGCGATGTACGAGCGAGTTAATATTCTGTCCAAATTGAATTTTAGTTTTTTGGGTCGTCCTTTCTCCTTAAGCTTTCTTTGTTATTGGAAATTATTAATAATTTTTAAATGAAAGCAAGCAAAAACGTTATAGTCGGGTAAGATCGATCATCATCAGCCTTGTACTATTCTTTCTTTATTGTTAAGATGAAGCACCAACATTTGTACATCGTTTATGCACATGTACAGGCATATTTTTCGGGAGAGCCAAACCGCAAAAGGTCTAAATTTAGTGCAACTAATATTCCCGTCAAAGACTCTTAATCTTATTTTGGCATAAAAAATTGAAAATTAGGTTTGTCCCTTATTTGCCATGAAAATTCGACCCCACTATATAGGATGGGAACCATCCATAATACAAACTTGCTACAGTTTTATGGCAAATTATTATTATTGTGGGATCAGTTTTTATTACGTTATAATAAAAATTCTGCTTTGTATTGTACTACAGTATAGTGTATTTTGTACTAAAATATATTGTACCACAGTATAGTGTATTTTGTACTAGGATATATTGTATTACAATATAGTGTATTTTATACTAAACTATATTGTACTAAACTACAGAATATTTTGTACTACAGTATAGTGTCTTTTGTACTAGAATTTACTATACTACAGTATAGTGTATTTTGTACTAGAATACATTGCACTACAGTATAGTGTATTTTATACTAAAGTATATTGTACTAAACTACAGAATAATTTGTACTACAGTGTACTAGAATTTACCATACTACAGTATAGTGTACATTGTACTAAAATATATTGTAATACAGTATAGTGTCCTTTGAACTAGAATTTACTATACTACAGTATAGTCTATTTTGTACTAGAATTTACCATACTACAGTATAGTGTATATTGTACTAAAATATATTGTACTACAGTATAGTGTGTTTTGTACTAGAATTTACTATATCACAGCATAGAATATTTTGTACGGCAGTATAGTGTCTTTTGTACTAGAATTTACTATACTACAGTATAGTGTATTTTGTACCAGAATACCTTGCACAACAGTATAGTGTATTTTGTACCAAAATTTACTATACTACTGTATAGTCTATTTTGTACTAAAATACATTGTACTACAGTATAGAATATTTCGTAATACGGTATAGTGTCTTTTGTACTAGAATTTACTATACTATAGTATAGTGTATTTTGTACAAGAGTACGTTGCGCTACAGTATAGTCTATTTTGTATTAGAATTTACCATACTACAGTATAGTGTACATTGTACTAAAATATATTGTACAACAGTAGAGTTTCTTTTGTACTAGAATTTGCTATGCTACAGTATAGTCTGTTTTGTACTAGAATTTACCGTACTACAGTATAGTGTAAATTGTATTAAAATATATTGTACTACGGTATAGCGTATTTTGTACTAAAATTTACTATACTACGGTATAGTGTATTTTGTACTAAAATGCATTGTACTAAAGTATAGAATATTTTGTACTACAGTATATTGTCTTTTGTACTAGAATTTACTATACTACAGTATAGTCTATTTTGTACTAGATTTTACCATACTACAGTATAGTGTATATTGTACTAAAATATATTGTACTACAGTATAGTGTGTTTTGTACTAGAATTTACTATATCACAGCATAGAATATTTTGTACGGCAGCATAGTGTCTTTTGTACTAGAATTTACTATACTACAGTATAGTGTATTTTGTACCAGAATACCTTGCACAACAGTATAGTGTCCTTTGCACTACAATTTACTATACTACAGTATAGGGTATTTTGTACTAGAATACATTGCACCACAGTATAGTGTATTTTGTAGCAAAATTTACTATACTACGGTATAGTGTATTTTGTACTAAAATACATTGTTCTACAGTGTAGAATA